ACTTATAAGACACCTTAGTGATTTTAATGTGAACCTGCATGCCAGCACAGTGTGTAAGTTTATTTAGGTACAGGTACACATAAGTTATCAGAGTATATATAAAACATGAAATAACCTTAATTCACTTGAAATTTTGGAAAGTTTCCAGACATAATGGGGAGATGCAGTGCCCAAGGAAATGTAAACAAACCAAGTGGGGCACGGTGACTGTATTTGAAAGTCAAGTGGGGGGAGCTATATAGCGAGTTTTGGTCATAATTTGAAATATCTGCATTAGTGGAATGCTGTAAAGTGAAATGCCGTAAAATGGGGCCCTACTGTCTGTAATTTCTTTTAAGTGAGCGAGGATAACTATTCTGATGATTCAGATACAGTGGACCCTCGCCTTACGAACGCATCGCATAACGTTAAATCCGCCTAGCGATACATTTTAACGCAAAAATTTTGCCTCAGCTAGCACTAAAAAACTCTCTCAACGCGATTCGTTCCAGACGCGTCCACATGCGGACTGAGCCCAGCTCACTTGTTCCGCGGGTGCCAGTGTTTACAAGCCACCACGGTCACTTCCAAGCATACAATCGGAACATTTCATATTATCACAGCCTTTTTAGTGATTGCACCAGCAAAATAAGTCACCATGGCCCCCAAGAAAGCTTCTAGTGCCAACCCTACAGCAAAAAGAGTGAGAATTACTATGGATATGATGAAAGAGATTATTGCTAAGTACAGTGGTCCCTCGTTTTTCGTAGTTCCTCGGGAATCATAGATTTCGTAAATCATAGGGATATTTTCGGATAAACATGGGCTCGCTAATCATAGGTTGACTCGTGAATAGTAGTTCATCCGGGACGCGTACGCACGGTGTGAGCCGGGGCAGCCTCCCTACCCAGCCAGTCTGGCATTGTTTACCAGTGAGCGAAGGTCCTCTCACGTGCTCCTACGAAATATTTCATAATATTCCACTCATTTTAGTGCTTGCAAGTACTAAATAAGCTACCATGGCTCCAAAGAAAGCTTCTAGTGCCAAGCCTGTGGTAAAGAAGGTGAGAATCTTGCTGCAGAGGAGGAGGAAGAGAGATGGAAGAAGGTGCCTTCTTCAGAAATTAAAGAGATTTTTGCTATGTGGGGTAAGATGGAAAGCTTTATGGAGAAACATCACCCTGACAAGGTTGTTGCAAGCCATGTTGGCAACAAGTACAGTGACAAAGTCTTGGGCCATTTTAGGGAAGTGTTAAAGAGACACCAGAAACAGAGCTCTCTCCACAGTTATTTTGCGAGACAGGACTCCAGTGACTCTCAAGGGGCCCTAGTGGAATTAAGAAAATAGAAAAGAGAAGCAACCCCAGAAAGCAATGGTCCTAGGTTTTTAGGGAAGGGGATTCCCCTTAAAAACTGTAAAACAATCAATCTCTCCCCCTCCCAGTCCCCTACACAAAGAAGAATTCCAAAAAAGGAAAGTTTTATGCGGTTAAATGTTTCTTCTCTTTCCCATTGTTTTGTTTATTGCACATCTATATTTTTAAAAAAAAATTTTTTGTTTTAATATTCTGGGTGTCGGGAAACGGATTAATTGTATTTATATTTTTTCTTAGGGGGAAAATTGATTCGAAAAACGTAGATTTCGAAATATAGAAACCCCGGGAAGGATTAATAAAAAAAAAGGGGGGAACCGCTGTATAAAGTGGAGTGGTGCCCCCCAGGGGGCCAGGTTGTCCCAAAAAACCCCAATCAACCATCGCTACTATTGTGGCCAAGAAAAGGGCAATCAAGGAAGCGTTCTTGCCAAAGTGCAACTTAGTTTTTAAACAGAATCGCGATGAAGATGTGAGGACTGTTTTTGGGTGTGGATAAACAAAAACGATAGCGGAGATGCTCTCTCAACGTCATAGTGAAAAGGCTGGAAGTTGCATGACGATTTAATTAAAAAATCCCTGCAACTAGTGAGATTGAGGAATTTAAGGCCAGCAAAGGGTTTTGGTTTTGAAGATTTAACCCTTTCAGGGGTCGACAGGCCCTCTCCGAAACTCGTTTCCAGGGGGGGGCCCAAAATTTTAAAAAAAAAAAAAAAAAATTATTTTCTTTTATAAAAAGATAGAAAATCTTTTCCAAACAAAGACACCAAAATTTGAAATTGTAGAAAACTTAGGGAAATTTATGCTCTCGCAAAGTTACGGTCCGGGGATGTTTACCTCGGCGATTTTGCCCCCTTTGAGCCCCCTTTTCGGCCCAATTTTACTGACTAGTGACAAAAAAAAAAATATTTTGCTAGAACTCCCTTTTTCTTGAATGGGTGCAAGAAAACCCATTTTAAATTTTAAATATCCCGACAGTGGGGCAGAATTTTGAAATTTTTCCAATTCCAAATTTTTAAAAAAAGCCAATTTCCGAAAGGGTCCAGAATAAAAAGAAAGACATCCCGGCACTAAAAAGACATTTTCCCCTAGCATTGTACGTCTCAAGGCCCCCCCTTTTATTCTTTTGCTTTCCACTTTGAATTTTTTTTCTCACAAAAAAAATAGATTTCTGTTATGCAGACTACTGCATTAGTGTAAAAAAAAAGGTTAAATTTATTGGTGCACTTGTGAAAGAATAAAAATTAATCACCAGTTTATGGTTTGCCCGCTTGGCCGATTTTTTTATTTTGAAGTTTTGGGAAAAAAACGAACATTTCGCTACTTTTTAGCTCAATTTCAAAGGCCCCCTTTTATTGTAAAACCCGTCAAAATCATTTTAAAATTTTAAATATGTTTCCATTCTTAAAAGGACCAAAAACTAGAAACACAAAAATACCTACGAAAATACACTGCAAAAGCGTGATTTTATTCAAAAAAATGGTCAAAGTTTTTTTTTTTTCTCATTATGCACTGTGTGCTGCAGGATTTTTTTTAGACTGTGCACACTGACCACATAGACCCATTCTTTCATATGAAGGCCTACCAGCTTTCTCCCACTAGATTTGAGGCCGCTAGAATTTATGAGTACTAGTACGTCAAAAACCCCTACGCATAAGACGTACTAGTACGACCAAAACCCTCAAAGGGTTAAGAATCGTAGTGGCATACATAGTGTGATAAGGCATGGTGAGGCTGCTAGTTCGGACCACAAAGCGGCTGAAAAATATGTGCAGGAATTCAAGGAGTACATAGACAGTGAAGGACTGAAACCTGAACAAGTGTTTAATTGTGACGAAACAGGCCTGTTTTGGAAGAAAATGCCATGCAGGACCTACATTACTCAGGAGGAAAAGGCACTTCCAGGACATAAGCCTATGAAAGACAGGCTTACTCTCTTGATGTGTGCTAATGCTAGTGGTGATTGCAAAGTGAAGCCTTTATTGGTGTATCACTCTGAAACTCCCAGAGTGATCAGGAAAAACAAATGTCCTCAAGGCTAGTTTGTGTGTGCTGTGGAGGGCAAACAGTAAGGCATGGGTCACTAGAGACCTTTTCTATGACTGGTTACACCATGCATTTGCCCCCACTGTGAAAAATTACCTAATTGAAAAGAAATTAGACCTTAAGTGCCTCCTGGTATTAGACAATGCTCCTGGTCATCCTTCAGACGTGGCAGAGCGACTTTCTGCGGAAATGAGCTTCATTAAGGTCAAGTTTTTGCCTCCTAATACCACTCCTCTCCTGCAGCCCATGGTCCATCAGGTCACTACAAACTTCAAAAAACTCTACACAAAAGCTATGTTTGAAAGGTACTTTGTAGTGACCTCAGAAACTCAATTGACTCTTAAGAGAGTTTTGGAGAGTTCACTTTAGCATCCTCAATTGTGTAAACATTATAGGTAAGGCTTGGGAGGAAGTGACTAAGAGGACCTTGAACTCTGCTTGCAAGAAACTGTGGCCAGCATGTGTAGCCAAAATGGATTTTGAAGGGTTTGAGGCTAACCCTGGGAATCCTATGCCAGTTGAGGAATCCATTGTGGCATTGGGGAAGTCCTTGGGGTTGGAGGTTAGTGGGGATGATGTGGAAGAGTTGGTGGAGGAGGACAATGAAGAACTAACCACTGATGAGCTGCTAGAGGTGGTAGAGAAATTGAGGAAGTTGCCTACTTCAAAGATTAAGGAAATGTGTGCAATGTGGCTTAAAGTGCAAACCTTTTTTGATGAAAATCACCCTCATACAGCTATTACAAGCTGTGCTGGTGACTATTACACTGACAATGTTGTGAAACACTTTAGGAATGTCATAAAGGAACGGGAGGTACAGGCCTCTATAGACAGATATGTTGTGCGACAGAGGTCCAGTGACTCTCAAGCTGGTCCTTGTGGCATTAAAAGAAGAAGGGAAATAACCCCGGAAAAGGACTTGCCACCTCAAGTCCTAATGGAAGGGGATTCCCCTTCTAAACATTAACACCATCCACAGTCTCCCCTCCTCCCATCCCATCAATCATCACCAGATCTTCAATAAAGGTAAGTGTCATGTAACTGTGCATGTTTTCTCCAGTTTGTGTGTATTATAATTAATATTTCATGTGGTAAAAATTTTTTTTGTTGTTCATATTTTGGGGGTTTTCAGGAAAGGGATTAATTTGATTTCCTTATTTTTATGGGGAAAATTAAATTTCCCCCTAACGAAAAATTTTGCCTAGTTAGCTTGGGGATGGATTAACAGCGTTAGGCAAAGGGGTTTTCCACTGTATTTTGAGGATGATGAATTACGGGAGGGGAAAGAGAGTTTTAAAGCTATTAAAAATAGGAGATAATAAAAAAGACCATTTATTTTCCCGGGAAAGAAAAAAGGGGTGCAAAAAAGGGAAAACATTTTACTAGGGGGTTTTTTTAAATAAATGGTACATGTTAGGGAGGCTTACTTGAAAAAAAATATCTTAAATTTTTCATTCAAAAGTCTCTTCATGAATAGTGATAAATAAAAATGAATTGAATTAAAAATTATTTTTTATGTAATCTGTGAATGGTGCCTTTGTAGAATTCTCTAAAGCTGTAAACTCTGTATTTCTTTTTACCGTTTGGGTTATTTTTCAACAGCTTTGACCTGACAGCCAAACATGGTCTGGATTCAACCAGCGCCAGACTCTCAATTTCCCATCTGGGCGACCTTCCATGCAGCAGCGTTTTGGGTGATGCGATGTATGCTTTGGTGGTCAGTAGATAACAATTGTGGCGTGGTGAATGTATCGTTCCAGGTGAGATAACCAACTTTTATTTACGAATTTCAAATTTGCTGTGAAAAAAAGGTTTTGTATTCCACCTATCCCCAGTTCATATTCTTATTAATTTTTTCACTGTCATGACCCCCAAAATTAAAAGAGCTACCGGAACTGCCCCCTTTAAAGCTATAAAATGCACAGGTCAGAAAATTTTTCCAATTTTTACAAAAATTACACAAATTCCATTTTTTTAAACGAGTTAAAAAAAGTACTGTATACATTCCGCCCCTAAGGAAAACCCATCTTCTTTTTATTCGTGTCCCCAGGGCCTCTCCCCATATTAGATTTTCCCTCATTTCGAATCCCTATCAGACCCAAAAATTTTAAGTTTTATTTATTTCTCAATATAAAATATGACCAAGATTTTTTGGTCATTTTTTTAGAGTGCCCCATAAATTTAAGTAGACCAAAAACCCAAACCGTCTGGGGGAAGGGGACCTTACCCTTTCTCAGAAAAATCATCAAAAGTCAATATTTTTATTTTTTATTTTTTATTAACAACTGGCCGATTCCCCCCCAAAGGCAGGGTGGCCCGAAAAAAAAACTTTCACCATCATTCACTCCCCTGTCTTGCCAGAAGGGTGCTTTTCACACAGTTTTTAAAAGCAAAATTAACACCCCCCCTTCAGGGCAGGCACTGTACTTCCCATCTGCAGAACTCAAGTCGGGTGCCCGGTTTTCCCCGAAACCCTTCATAAAAGTTACTTTACTCACACTCCCAAAAGCACGTCAAGTTTAAAAACCATTTTCTCCATTCCTCCTACAAAAAAACGCCACGCTGCCTGCGGAAGTCCAAGCCCTTCACACACAAAACCTCTTTTCGCCCTCCCCCCCAACCTTTCCTGGCCGACCCTACCCCCCCTTCCTTCCACTACGATAGGGAAAACCCCCTTTTAAGTCATTCTGTTTTATCCCTTCTCTCTACTTCCAAACCACCTCAAAACCCTTCCCCAGCCCCCCGGACAAAAGTTTTTGGGAATCCTGCACCCCCTCCTAACTTCCAAACTAGATTTTCCTTCATTTTATTCACCCCCAATTGCCCTCGACATGACATCTCCATGCCTCCCGCCTTCTCCTCACTGCAAAAAATTCCCCACCCCTGCTTCACACCCCTATAAAAGCGTTGGTAAAAATATATTCTCATACATTCCCCTCTTTGCCTCCAAGACAAAGTTTTTTGTCTCCACAGACTCCTAAGTTCACAGCTCCCCTTTTTTCCCCTCATCAATTCTAAAATTTCACCTCTCTTTCATAGACCCATCTGCTGACACGTCCACCCCCAAAATATCTGAATACATTCCCTCCTCCATACTCTCTCCCTCTAATCTGATATCCAATCTTTCATCACCTAATCTTTTTTGTTATCCCCATAACCTTACTCTTTCCTGTATTCACTTTTAATTTCTTCTTTTGCTTTGCCCCTACCAAATTTATCCACCAACCTCTGCAACTTCTCTTCGGGAATCTCCCAAGAGCACAGTGTCATAAAGCAAAGAGAAAACTGTGACAACTCCCACTTTATGTGTGATTCTTTATCTTTTAACCCCACGCCTCTTCCCAAAACCCTCGCATTTACTTCTCTTACAACCCCAAAAAATAAATATATTAAAAACAACCACGGTGGCATCACACATCCTTGGTAAGGCCTACTTTTACTGGGAAATAATCTCCCTTTTTCCCACATACTCTAACTTGAGCCTCACTATCCTCGTAAAAACTCTTCACTGCTTTCAGTAATCTACCTCCTACAATACACCGCAACATCTGCCACATTGTCCCCCTATCCCCCCTGTCATACGCCTTTTCCCAAACCCCATAAATGCCTAAAACCTTTTTGGGCCTATCTAAATACTGTTCACTTATTGTTCACTGTAAACCCCTTTGGTCCACACACCCCTACCTTTTCCCAAACCCCTTGTTCTCTGCTATCCTATTCTCCGTCTTTCTCTTAATTCTTTCAATTATAACTCTACCAAACACTTTACCAGGTATACTAACAGACTTAAACCCCCTATAATTTTTCACTCTCTTTTGTCCCCTTTGCCCTTTATACAAAGAACTTGCATGCTCTCTGCCAACCCCTAGAACCTACCCTCTTCCATACATTCATTAAATAATTGCACCAACCACTCCAAACTAATCCCCACCTGCTTTTAACATTTTATCTTTATCCCATCAATCCCACTGCCTTCCCCCTTTTCATTTACCCTACTTCTACACTTCCCCACACTCACAACGGCTTTTCCTAACTCCACAAAATTATTCCTCCTTGCCCTTTACCGAAATCACGCTTCCCATTTTATCACATTTAACAAGTCCTCAAAAATTCCCCCCCATCCCCCCAATACCTCAACTTCCATTTAATAATTCCTCTCCTATTTTTAATGACAAATCAAAGTTTTAGGCCCCTTCCCCTTTTAACTCATCCAAAAATTTTTTATTTTCAAAAAAATTTGTTGAAACTCTCCCCCCTTCCCCATTGCTCTCTTTTTACATTGCTTCCCCCTTTTTAACCTCTTCTTTTTCCCAATACCCCCCTCCGCTCACTTTACTTTGAAAAACTTTCATTCAGTGGACCCCGCATAACGAACCCCCCCCCGAATGCGACCAAATTAGTAATGTATTTATGAAAAGTGGTTTGTAGTGATTTTTTGGGGGTCTGAAAGGGACTAATCGTTCAAAATTTTCCCTTTTAGGGGAAAAATTGGTCAGACGGGCCCCGAACATATTTTCGGAGAAAAAAAATATCTTTAAAACCGGGGGGTCCACTGTACTAACTTTTTCTCCCTAACTATTATTTACCATCATTTACCAAATCCCCCTTTTTTTCCCTCCTGCACCCCCTTTTTTTGTAACCAAAGTTCGTGAGCACTCAAACATACATTTTTAAAACCTCCCCCAAACCTCTTGACCCCATTCCTATGCTCTCATTAACCCATTATCCTCCATTGCTGTTTAAATCTTACCCAAAAATGCCTCCTCTTTTAGTTATAAAAATTCCCCTCTCTCTTCCCGATGCTTTTATTCTCCTTTTTCCCCTATTTCTTTCCCGTTAGTACAACTAAAAAGTGACTGTATATCTGTGGCCCCTCTATAAACATGTCATCCCGAAGTCACTCAAAAGTCTTTTTTTCTCCAAAACATAACCAACAAATACTGTCATTTTGCCCAATCTTTTTTATTATCCTCTTTTTTTAAAATATGTATTACCCATAAAATAAAACCCCTTTTATACAAAGTTCAAACAAAGGGCTCCCATTATCATTTACACCGGCACCCCAGACGTTCCTACCAACCCCCCTCTAAAAGTTTTTCCTACTTTGGCTTTAGGTCCCCACCACAATTACTCCCCCCTTGGTTCAAAGGTTCCCATACATTAACTTAAAATCTCCCAAAAACTCTCTCTCTCCTTTTACATTCCCCTTTTCTCCAGGGGGCTACAGCTTATTTTGACCCACTTTTTTCATCCAAACCCTTTTTTTAATCCCCTAAACCTTGAATTTTTACTTTTTATTCTCTTTTTTTCCTTCCATAATGTCCTTTAACATTTCTGCTCTAGATACTCCAGATTTTAACCCCTTTATTTCCCCCCCCCAAAATCCCCTACCCCCTTTTAGCTTTGTTTTTGCTTTGGGCCGGACTCAATTTTTTTTTTATTATAACATCCCGCAATCATCTCTTTTTTGTCATCCAATACTCCCCCACTTCAAGCATCCCAGTTTTATAAAGTTTTTTTTTCTTCTCTTTTTTAGTAAAAGTCACAGGAGAAGGGGTTACTAGCCTATCCTCCCCGGGTTTTAGTCGCCCTAACCCCGCAGGCTTCAGAGGGAAAAATTTTTTCCACTTTCCATGGCAATAGGAAATAAAAAAGAACAAGAGTATTTAAAAAAGGAGAAAAATAGATTTAGTTATGTATATGCATGTGCGTGTCTGTGAAGTGTGACCAAAGTGAAAAGTAGGGTAGCAAGATACCCCTGTTATCAGCTGTTTATAAACAAAAAAGTCCCCACAAACCCTCCATCAGCAAAAAGTACGGGGTTTTCTTTTCACTGTCATCTGGAGGATGGTGTATTTTCCCGGGTTTTTGCTGTCTCCCAAACCCTATACTTTCCGTCCCGCTTTCCGTCCTGAAATTTGACCAAAAATCGTCTCTTTTCCCATTTAAATGTTGGTTTATTGATCATAAAACCTCCTAGAAAAAAAAAAAAAGTTCTGTTTTAAACCAAGCACAACATCACAGTTTGCCATGTACACTTTTGGGGGCAGGATTTTTCTGTAATTATAGCACCTACTCACAGACCCCTTCTTTTTGTCTGGGCCAAAATTTACTGATCATGGGGAATTCGAGGGTGACACAGTGTTAGTACTGCCCTCTTGAGACATTGAAAGGTTAATGAACTTGTTAAGTCTATTTTTTTATGAGTTTCAGCTGTTTTCTTTTGTGGTTAAGGAAATTTTGGATTTACTTTCAAGATTTTATTTTATAAAGAAAAATAAACAGTCGTACCTCACTTAAAAACCAACTTTATTTCTCCACTTAAAAAGTTTCAATTTCATTGTTTTAAATTGTACAAAAATTTTAAAATTTTATTATTGTAAATTGTGTTTATGATTGCTCAAAAGTTAATCATTTTCCCCCAAATTTAATTGTTTGAACTTCATTGTTTTAAAAATTTTTCTCAGTTGTAATACCGTAATTCAATGAACCTTGAAAGAAAAAAAAACTGTTGATTGATTTTTTATATCAGTAACTCGAATCACCTATAGTTATTCCTAAAGTGCCGTGTTGATTTTAAACTTGTTAATAAATGAAGAACTTTTGGGAAATAGGGTTCCTTCCTGGGATCCCCCAAAAAACCCAAAAACTTTTTTTTAGACATCCCGATCTTACAAAAAATAAAAAGGTTTGTTTTTTTTGCTGCTTAACCCTTTTGGGCCCTGCCGT